ATAGTATTCTTAAACAAGGGATGTTTAAATGCCCCCTAAAGCGCAAATTTCAGTGGAAATTTGCTCATGGTGTGAGCAAGTCAGAATGAAGTCTAACACTAGGGTTGTATGTTTCAGTATTCAACTGAGGCAAATGGATAGGTCAGTATCAAGGGAAAAAAATTCTTGCAGTTTCAACTTGATAGTTTCTTCTTGGGGGGAAGGGTAGGGGTAGTTATGCTTAAAGGTTTTTTGGTTGTTGTGTTTTTTGTTTTTGGTTTTTTTTTTTTTTTTTTTTTTTTTTTTTTGGTCTCTGGTACTTCACATAATCACCCACGATGGCTTCACTTTAAAGACAAAAGACTAACTTCTCTCACATGTGATAAAACTGGTAATATATAATTGTTTTTACTTTAATGTTAGTTTTACTTAATTTTAAATTAAAGACCACAGAGTAGTTAACACTAAACCATGACTTTGAAGCCTCCTAGAAGGATATGCCCTGTGGCTATGTTTCATTTCCGGAGCCAGCCAGGCCTGTATTACCACCTGCATCTGTGTTTATAACTTCCTACCGTTACCTTCTGGAGAAGTATTTGAGGTACAATGCTTTTCTGCTACTCAACATTACCTTTAGAAAAGTCTTATATCAGAAGTATCAGGTTAACACTATGTAATATTTACTGACAACTCTCTTTCATAGGAAACTCTTTGGATTTTTTTAAGCTTTATGACCCATCCAATGCTTTTTTTGTGTGCCACTATGATTGACAAACTGAATCCTGCTCATCTAAGGTACTATACATGATTCAAACCAGACCACCAGAATATTTCCACAGTTTTAAATTAAAATTGTATATAAATTCAAGTTAATATGCCTAAAATCCCAATGAAAACGAGCACATTTTATAAAAATGTAAATAAATTGTAACAGAATGGGTGAAATATCCTCAATCCAGTTATTCATTATACTGTTTATCCACTTGCTTGTTTGTTCACAGACATCCTTATAAAATAAGATTCAGTCATTAAAATGAGTTGGAAGAAAAGGAATAAACCTTGCTCAAAATCTTCAGCTACTTAAAAGTGCTCCATGGGACTCCCGGGTGGCTCGGTCAGTTAAGTGTCCAACTCTTGATCTTGGGTCAGGTCATGATCTCATGTTTCCTGAGATCGAGCCCTGTGTCAGGCTCCACAGTGTCAGTGCAGGACCTGCTTGGGTTTCTCTCTCTCCCTCTCCTTCTGCTCTTCCCAAAATCATATGCATGCAAGTGTGCACTCTCTCTCAAAATAAATAAACATGAAAAAATTTAGAAAAATAAAAATGCTTTATAGAACCTATTACAATGCAAGATAAGAACTGATGAGATATTATTCTGTAATTTTTCATAGCTGCAAATATTTGCAATAGCAGTTTGTTCTCAAAGCACTAAAAATTTTTTGCTCACTAAAAATCTGATATCCCAACCTGAAACTCATGCAGTCTCTGTGACTACTTCAAATTTTGAATGAGTAGAGTAAAAGTTAAGGATTAGACTTTTCTATTACTCTTTTAACTTTGTGTCTCCACAGAAAACAGGTTTCCAACATTTTCATAACCTAATGAAAATCTCTAGAGGAAAACTTTCCCTTAGTTTCAACTCACTCTCTCCAAATTATACCATCACCAGTGAAAAACAGACAAACAAAAAAGACCCAAATCCACCTATCCTCCTCCCAAAAAACCCTCTCACCCACTGCTTTTTAACATAGTCCTTTGAGGTATTCAGAGTCTTTTTCTAGTTAGGTAACGGATATTCAGCTTTATCCATAAATGCATTCATTTACTCGCCTCATCCTTTACACACTGAAGAAATTAACTACACTGTGTAAATACATAGGTTTCCTAATACAAATTCACTGTAATACATCTAAAAAGGCATACATGTCTAAATAGGACCAATAATTAAAAAAAATACTACAATTTCAAAAATGCACCTCTAGTATAACTGCATTTATTAAGTCTCTAAGCATAGATGAGGATAAACTTCAATGTTTGGTTCCTTGGCAACGAGTAACACTGACAAGCTATATATCCATGAACCACCTAACTGCTTAATATGCCAGAATATTTTAAGAGGACAGTAGTTTATATACTTGATCTCACATAATCCTCATTTTACAGAAAAAAAGTGTCAGAGAGGTTAAGCAATTTATTCTAGGTCACACAGTCAGTGACAAGGCCTGGAGGGATGTGAATTAACTTCTGACACACTGCAAAGAGGTACATTATGAAAAAGACTAGTAAATGCAATGAAGCCATGCAATGAAGCTTGCAAGCTGAAAGGAGTCAGAAGATACTACCAGTAGTTACCAATGTGGCCTTGTGTAACCACCTCTCTAGTTTATGCCTGTTTCCTTACTATGAAATGAAGAAGTGAGGCTACTGTGTTACGAACCAATGTTTTAAAAGTTTGTGTACTAAAGGTAGTAAATTCACAAATGGCCAGATTTTCTAAGAATCTAAACTTCTTTCATTTTTCAGAATTTGTAAACTTGGGGGCACCTGGATGGTTCAGTCAGTTAAGTGTCCCACTTTGGCTCAGGTCACGATCTCACAGTTTGTGGATTTGAGCCCCGTGTCAGGCTCTGCACTGACAGGTCAGAGCCTGGAGCCTGCTTTGGATTGTGTCTCCCTCTCTCTCTGCCCCTCCCCGGCTCATGCTCATGTTCCCACAAGCTCTCTCTCTCTCTCAAAAATAAACATTAAAAAAAGGGGGGGGGGGGCGCCTGGGTGGGTCAACTGGTTAAGCATCCAACTTCGGCTCAGGTCATGATCTCATGGTTCGTAGGTTCGAGTCCCACACTGGGCTCTGTGCTGACAGCTCAGAGCCTGGAGCCTGCTTCGGATTCTGTGTCTCCCTCTCTCTCTGCCCCTTCCATGCTCATGCTCTGTCTCTGTCTCAAAAATAAATAAAACATTTTTTAAAAATTAAAAAAAAAAGCTAACTGTAACTCCATAGGCAAATGTATTAAAAAGGACAACTTTCAATACCCACCTTATAAACTGTGTGATTTTTATTTAGACTCATTTGATTATGAAAAGAACAATATATTTTAGCCCACTTAGTTTCTTAAGATGTTCAAAATTGTTTATGTATAACATCCCAATGTTTTTGGCAACCAGTAAGGTACAACTTACTTTCCAGAAGAGGAAAATCAGGTGAAAAATAGGGAAGCCACTTATATAGTTAGAGCAAACATCTGACACCAGTGGTTAACTCATGTACTGATATAGACAGTGGGATTTAGAATTTAAATTATCATGAGGTTATCACTGATGATCATTTGCCCAGAATAAGTGATTTAGCATGACAACAGTATTTTTGAACATCAAGTACAATTTGTGATCTTTCAATAAATTTATCTTGAAAAAAAGAATGACATTACACAAAGAATAACAAACTAATAGGGTGCCTGGGTGGCTCCGTCAGTTAAGTAACCAGATTCTTGATTTCAGCTCAGGTCATGATCTAGCCATTTGAGTTTGAGCCCCCTGTCCAGCTCCAAGCTGACAGTGTGGAGCCTGCTTGGGATTCTCTCTCTCAAAATAAACTTAAAAACAAACAAACAAACAAACTATTAAGACAGCAAAGGTAAAAGCAAGCTATGCATTAGGAAAATTCTAAATTTAGTACCCTAAATTACAGCAAGAAAAGCCCTCACACCACCATTCACAAGTCTCAGTTCAAGCAATTTATTTTTGGCAAACCAAATCACAGCTGTCAACGCTGGGTTTTTTCCACCCCAAAATTACACGAAGTATTCTGAAAAAATGTAGACATCTTCAACTAGGGTAAAAGTTACAAATGCCGTGTGTCGTTAGAGATGCTTTAAAAAAAAAAAAAAAGTCACACGGAAATGGGGGTGGGGGGGTTAAAAAAAAAAAAGCAAACAGACAAACCCTGGAAGATGCAGCAGAGCCCCCTTGCTCCCGAAATAAAACTCCTGGTGGCTGTAACAGCAGCGGCAGCGCTACTCCCGACAGAAGTTTTCAGCTGTCACTTCTAACAGCTGAGCGCTTCCTAGGAGAGAGCGACAGGCCGAGAAGAGAGGTGGTTGTGGGAGGTCTCAAGATTTTAATACTTGAAATTTACAGTCGAAGGAAAACCCTTCCGCACTTCACCTGCACTTACGGGACACCCAGTAAGCGAACACCCCTTCCCCCCAACATGCGCTTACACCACTCGCGCCCCGCCACATTCAAGTTCAACAGCTCAAGGAATTGACCACGCGCCCTTTTCGTTCACTCCAGAAACAGACTGCTCCGGGCTGCGCTGATTAGGAGCTATGGGCGCGACCTGCACCTGCGAGTCCTGGAACGGCCTCACACCTAGGACCAGATCCACCCCGCCCGCTCCCCTGTCTCGTACAGCGCGGCGCCTGTGCTCCTCCAAGAGACTACTCGCGCCCCCTCGGGTCTCCGCGCTCTCGGAAGCGCCAGGCTTCCAGGGCCCGCGCCGCCGCCCTGGCCCTGTCACCTCGGGCCCCCCGGGACCCCGGGCCTCACCCCCTCCTCCAGCTCATCCTCAGAGCCCGCGTCCTCTGGCTGGTCCAGGTCTATGTCAAACACTCCTGCCATGTCCTCAGCTTCCCTGTCTCGGAAGTCCGGCGCTGGGTAAAAGCCGTCCCGCCTCCGTCGTCGCCTCATGGGCCCGGACCCGCCGCAACCACCGCCGCTGCTGCCGCCATCACCGGCTGCTTGGGCTTAGTGCGTCTGCGCTTAGGCCCTAGACTGGCTCCTCAAGTTCAGCTCTAGAGCATGCGTACAGAGTTCTATGAAGCCGAACTGTGGGCAACGAACATGCGTAGAGCTTTCGCCTGGAGCAAGGTACTGGCAGAAGCATGCGCAGAACCCCAGCCGAAGCCTCTTATGGTAGCTAGGCCATGCGCATTGTGTGCTAAAGCCTTTGATGGACAAGGAGCATGCGTACCATGTCTGAAGTTGATAAATTGAAATTGAACATGCGTAATTAACCTCTGAATACCGGGGGAGGGGGGAGGAACCTACAACAAAACTCTTGGTTTATGAACATGCGCATTCGTTCTCCGTAGCTTTTTTTGGTATTGAAAGGGAGCATGCGCATAATGACGGGATTGGCCCTCTGAAGTTTGAACAGGACCAAAACGGCTGGTTCTGGGTCTGTCAGTGAGTGGGGTTTATGGGGAACTCCTGGAGCTAGTGGGGAAAGGGAGAGCCTTGGTTTGCTATTCTAGTTCAGTGGCCTTGCGAAAATCACATAACTTTTCAAAGCCTCGGTTTCCTTATCTGTAAAATGAGAATAATGATACCTAGTTTGCAGGGTTATTTGAAAATTTACAAGTACAGTTTGGCTAGAAAGCCACTGTTCGTTCTAGTGCTGCACAGACCTGGTGTGAGGTCTTTACCAAAAATTGTCTTTTCAGTGTTAAAAATAGAGAAGACTTATTCCCTTATTTCCTCTGGTTCTGTCTTTCCAAGCTTAGTATTCCTTGCTGTCTACCCGAGCTAAACTCTTCTAAGTGTTATTGTCATTACCAGGCCAGAAGGTGATTGGTAGAGAAAGAAAGTCATTATGTAGAAGAGAGAAAATTAATGTTAATTAAATGTACAATTGTTGAGCTAACTTCTGCATTCTGTGTGTTCCTGTAGTGTGAAGTATATACTAGGAATTCCTTCAACTAGCATTCGTTTTATTTTGTTTTGTTTTAAATGCATGCTTAGGGAAATAGTGAATACAAATCAGATTTCAGAAACTATTGAGCTGTCTGAATGCATTTGGGTACAGTAAATTCCAAATCCCAAAACTGTGTGTAGAAAGAGAACAACTTCCTTGAATGATTAAGCTGTTTCATCTATAACACCATATACATGGCATTTTAAAATTATACTTTTATTGATGTGTATTAATACATATGACATTCCTTATTTATTAGTAATGTAGTGGTTCTCAAAGCCTATATTTTTCTATTGCAGGTTGCTCACTTTTTTGAAGGAGGCCTAGTTTGCATCTCAGCATGTCAATAGTAACAGTGCAACTTGGTCAGTGTGGCAATCAAATTGGTTTTGAAGTATTTGATGCTCTATATAGTGACTCACACTGTCCCCAGGGACTCTGCTCTAAAAGAGAGAATGAGGTGTATCAAGCATCTTGCAAAGAAAGATTCTTCAGTGAAGAGGAAAATGGAGGTATGTGTGGTCAGTCTATCCATTGTCCTCTCCTTTTCTCTGACATAACCAACCTCTTCAAGGCCAAGTCCTCCATGTGGTATCTGAATCCCATCTCTTTTCATGACTTTGCTGTCAGCACTTTGTGTCTGTGTTAACAACCTTTGCCTCTCCAGTGGCATCTTCCCTCAGCACATGAGCATGCTCAGATCTCACCAATCTACAACCAACCAAACAACTTATGACTATAGCTTTTTTTCTTTTTTCAAGATTTATTCCCTTTTGGGTGTGGGCACTGTGGGGTGGTACAGAAAGTACAGAGAATTTGGAATTTCATTTGGAATGAAAAAACATTTTTTTTCAATAAACTCTACCCCCAACATGGGGCTGGAACTCACAACTCCAAGATCAAGCATCACATGCTCTACCGACTGAGCCAGCCAGACGCCCCAGTTTTTTTCCTTCTTATGTCTTTACCTTCTCAATCTCCTAATCACTAGATCCAGTGACTGTTTTTCTTTTCTTAATTCACTTAACTTTTCTCCTGGATTTTATTCCATTAACTATAAAATTCTCTTCTTGAAACTCCTTCTCCTTAGTCTCTGAACTTTTTTTTTCTCCAGTGGTTGCATCTCTGGCTCCCTTTCCTCTGTCCTCACTTACATAGCTCTCTCTGGGCCATTTCAGTTACTGTTGTAATTTGCTACTTCTTTGACACTAGTGACTCTCAAATCTAGCCTAGCCTCTCTTTTTTTTGCTTTAAAATTTTTTTTAATGTTTATTTATTTTTGAGAGAGACAGAGACAGAATACGAGTGGGTTAGGGGCAGAGAGAGAGGGAGACACAGAATCTGAAGCAGACTCCAGGCTCTGAGCTGTCGGTACAGAGCCCAACGTGGGGCTCAAACCCACAAGCTATGAGATCATGACCTGAGCTGAAGTTGAACACTCAACCAACTAAGCCACCCAGGTGCCCCATCTAGCCTCTCTTTTAAGCTGCAGACTGATTAGTGGACATCTCCACCTGCATCCCCCTGTGTACCTCAAACTGAGCATCTCCATATGCTAGGGTGTTTGTTATCTTTCCTTTAGAACTTGGGCTCTGATTGCCCACATACTATCAAACATAACCATCTGCTTAATTTACCTCCTACATATATCTCTTCTCCCCTTTCCATCTTCACTGTCATTGGCTTAGTTCTGGCTCTTGTCCTCTCTCACCTGGACTGTCACCTGAACTGTTTCAAGACATTCCTTCTAGTTTCCCTGCCTTCACTTTTGTGTCTATCATATCTATTCTCCAGACTGCTGTATTTATTTGTTATTTTAGAGAGAGTGTGAGTGGAGGAGAGGGGCAGACCAAGAGAGAGAATCATTTTTTAAATATTTGTTTATTTTTGAGAGATAGAGAGACCGAGCACAAGCAGGGGAGGGGCAGAGAGTAAAGGAGACACAAAATCTGAAGCAGGCTCCAGGCTCTGAGCTGTCAGCACAGAGCCTGATGCAGGGCTTGAACTCATGAACCGAGGTCATGACCTTAGCCAAGTTCAGATGCTTAACTGACTGAGCTACCCAGATGCCCCTAGAGAGAGAATCTTAAGCACGCTCAGCACGGAGCCTGATACAGGACTCAATCCCATGACCTTGGGATCATGCCCTGAGCTTAAATCAAGAGTTGGACACTCAATTGACTGACCCCCCTCGGCGCCCCCACACTACTGTATTTAAAAAGTCATCTGACAAGGGGCGCCCAGGTGGCTCAGCCTGTTCAACATCTGACTTCAGCTCAGGTCATGATCTCACAGTTTGTGAGTTCTAGCCCCACATTGGGTTCTCTGCTGTCAGTACAGAGCCCACTTTGGATCCTCTGTCTCCCCTCTCTCTCTCTCTCCCCCTCCCCCACTCCTCTCTCTCTCTCTCTCTCTCTCTCTGTCTCAAAAATAAGCAAACATTAAAAAAAAAGCCAATCACCTGACAGGACAACTGGCTGGCTCAGTTGGTATAGCATGTGACTCTTGATCTCAGGGTTATGAGGTCAAGCTCCACATTGGGTGTAGAGATTACTTAAAAAATAAATAAAAGGGGCACCCGGTGGCTCATTCAGTTGAGCATCCGACTTCAGCTTAGGTCATGATCTCGCAGTCTGTGAGTTCAAGCCCCGCGTCGAGCTGTGTGCTGACAGCTCAGAGCCTGGAGCCTGCTTCAGATTCTGTGTCTCCCTCTCTCTCTGCCCCTCCCCTGCTCATGCTCTGTCTTTCTCTCTGTCAAAAATAAGTAAACATTAAAAAAATTTTTTTTAATAAATAAAAATAAAAAATAAATAAAAATAGGGGCACCTGGATGGCTCAGTCGGTTGAGTGTTTGACTTCAACTCAGGTCATGATCTCACAGCTTTTGGGTTCAAGCCCTGCGTCGGGCTCTGTGCTGACAGCTCAGAGCCTGGAGCCTGTTTCAGATTCTGTGTCTCCCTCTCTCTGCCCCTCCCCTGCTTGTGCGCGCGCTCTCTCTCTCTCTCTCTCTCTTTCTCTCTCTCATTAAACATTAAAAAAAATTTTTTAATAAATAAAAATAGAATAAAAAGTCATCCGACTATTCCTCATCTGCTTGAACATTTTCAGCAGTTTCCCATTACCTTAAAAATAAATTTCAAGTTGGGGGCCTGGGTGGCTCAGTTGGTTAAGCATCTGACTTTGGCTCAGGTCATGATCTCACAGTTCGTGAGTCTGAGCCCTGCATCAGGCTCTGTGCTGACAGCTCAGAGCATGGAGCCTGCTTGGATTCTGTGTCTCCCTCTCTCTCTGCCCCTCCCCCTGCCTCTCTCTCTCTCTCTCTTTCTTTCTCTCTCTGTCTCAAAAATAAACATTAAAAAAATTAAAAAAAAAAAGATAAATTTCAATGTTTTTAGCACTGCATACCAGGACTTCCAAGATCTGAGCCTGCCTACTTTCCATCTCCATCCATTACTTCCTCCACCCCTTCCTCCATCTTGTGCTTCAACAATCCTGAGCTGCTTATTGTGCCCATGGTATTTTATATCTCTGAATGTGCTACTCTTAGTGTGGATTCGTCATGAGTCATTATCATGTCATGCTGTGATTGAGTTTTATCTCTCTCACTAGTCCTTCTAGGGCCAGATTGATGTTGTCTTCATCTCTGTGTTACCAGCACAGTACATGGCACATTGTAAGCTCTCAACAGATGTTTGTAGACCTGACCCAGTGATCATTTTAGCCCACACTGATTCATCCTGCTTAGCAGAATGCTAGCATTATGAGGTGCCTGGGTGGCTCAGTCGGTTACGAGACCGACTTCAGCTCAGGTCATGATCTCATGGTTGTGGATTTGAGCCCCATGTTGGGCTCTGTACTGATAGCTCAGAGCCTGGAGTCTGCTTCGGATTCTGTGTCTCCCTCTCTCTCATGCTCTGTCTCTCTCTCTCTCTCTCTCTCTCTCAAAAACAAGTAAACATTAAAAAAAAATTAAAAATGGGGTGGCTGGGTGGCTCAGTTGGTTAAGCATCCAACTTCGGCTCAGGTCATGATCTCACAGTTCCTGAGTTCAAGCCCTGCGTCAGGTTCTGTGCTGACAGCTCAGAGCCTTGAAGCCAGCTTCAGATTCTATGTCTCCCTCTCTGTCTCTCTCTCTGTCCCTCCCCCACTCATGCTCTGTCTCTGTCTCTGTCTCAAGAATAAAAAATAAACATAAAGGGATGCCTGGGTGGCTCAGTTGGCTAACCGTCCGACTTCATCCCAGGTCATGATCTTGCGGTTCATGAGTTCAAGCCCCGCACTGGGCTCTGTGCTCACAGGCCCTGGAGCCGGCTTTGGATTCTGTGTCTCCCTCTCTCTCTGCCCCTCCCCTCCTCATTCTCTGTCTTTGTCTCTCTCTCTCTCTCTCAAATATAAAACAAAACATTAAAAAAAAATTTTAATAAAAATAAAAGAAAAAAGAATGCTGAGTACTATTATCCGTCTGCATATACCTGCTGCTGCCCACTTCAGTTTCTAAGCAGTGTGACAGATCTTTCTATCCTCAACCTTTAGATTTTTTTTTTTCTTTTTTTGGACCTAGAAATTTGTTCTCTGCGAGAACCCAAATAAGACTTATGAAATATTTTTCTTTTGGTTTTTCTTCTCTCTCTAGTTCCCATTGCCCGGGCTGTACTTGTTGATATGGAACCTAAAGTTATCAATCAAACACTATCAAAGGCTGCCCAGTCTGGCCGATGGAAATATGGCCAGCATTCGTGCTTCTGTCAGAAACAAGGTTCTGGAAACAACTGGGCATACGGGTAAGAGTAACTCCTCATGTTTTCCAGTTTAGGTATAGCTACCTGGACAGCTTAGTTATAGCTGTACAGTTAATATACCAAGCACATAATCTTGAAATTGCTGTTTTAGGGGCACCTGGGTGGCTCAGTGGTTGAGCATCCAACTTCGGCTCGGGTCATGATCTCACAGTTCGTAGGTTCATAGGTTCGAGGCCCACGTTGGGCTCTGTGCTGATACCTATGAGCCTAGAGCCTGCTTCAGATTCTGTGTCTCCCTCCATCTGTTGCCCCTCCCCTGTTCACGCTCTGCTAACATTTAATGAATAAATGTTAAAAAATTTTGTTTTAAATGGCTGTTTTAGGGGCACCTGGGTGGCTCAGTCGGTTAAGCATCCGACTTCAGCTCAGGTCATGATCTCGCGGTCTGTAAGTTCGAGCCCCGCGTCGGGCTCTGTGCTGACAGCTCAGAGCCTGGAGCCTGTTTCAGATTCTGTGTCTCCCTCTCTCTCTGGCCCTCCCCCATTCATGCTCTGTCTCTCTCTGTCTCAAAAATAAATAAACATGAAAAAAAAATTTTTTTTTTAAAATGGCTGTTTTAAAATGTAGAGTGTAGGGATGCCTGGGTGGCTCAGTTGGATAAGCATCCGACTTCGGCTCAGGTCATGATCTCACAGTTCGTGGGTTTGAGCCCCGCATCAGGCTCTGTGCTGACAGCTCAGAACCTGGATCCTGCTTCTGATTCTGTGTATCTCTCTCTCTCTCTCTCTCTCTCTCTCTCTCTCCTCCTCTTCTGCTTGTACTCTGTCTCTCTCTCTCAAAAATAAATAAACTTAAAAAAAAGTTTTTTTTAATGTAGAGTGTGACTTCATCCAGAAGAAACTCTTTATTCTGTCTCATGTATGTCTGTGCTTCAGGTCCAGGTAATGATGAAACCAGGGATCTCTTGCCAGCAAGGTTTTCTACTTTTTCATGTTGTTCTGCCAACTAACTTCTCATTAAAAAATATTTTGGGGTGCCCACGTCACTCAGTTAAACATCTGACTCTTGATTTCAGCTCAGGTCATGGTCTCACGATTCGTGAGATCAAGCCCTGCATCAGGCTCTGTGCTGACAGCATGGAGCCTGCTTGGAATTGTCTCTCTACCTCTCTCTGCCCCTCCCTCACGTGTGCATGCATGGACACACACGCTGTATCTCTTTCTGTCTGTTTCTTAAAATAAATAAATAAACTTAAAAAAAAAACAGTATCTTTACCTGGCAGGTATTCCAGCTAATAGAGAACCCAGCAAAGCAGTAGTATGTCCTGGGGTTCTTTGGAAAATTCCAATGCCTGGTTCTTACTTCCAGAGATTTTGATTTAATTGGTTTAGGCTAAAGCCCAGATGTTGGAACTTTTCAAAGCTTCCCTAGGTGATTCAAATGTGCAGCAAAGTTTGAGAACCACTGTTTTAGGAATATTATTATGAATGTTGGATGTTATTTTGTACCATAAACTTGCAGAACTATCTGGTAATTGAAGTCTTCAGCTAAAGGAATGACCTGTAAAAGATAAGTTTCTGTACCCAGTAAATTCACTCTCCCCGCAATCCTATTCGCCTTTAACTTGTATATTTTAAATTTTGTCGATCAGAGCCCCTGTTCCTTTCATGAAAGTTAGTTCACATCCATGGGTTTAAAAAGCCTTCTCTATCCTATATCTTCCTCTCTGCATTGCCTCTTTCTGATTAAACTGAAAGGTGTTTGTGTTTGTTTCTTTTGTGTTGTAGTTACTCTGTTCATGGACCCAGGCATGAAGAATCTATAATGAACCTAATCCAGAAGGAAGTGGAAAAATGTGACTGTTTGAGTGGTTTTTTCATCATAATGAGTATGGCTGGGGGCACAGGATCAGGTCTAGGAGCCTTCGTTACACAGAATTTACAAGATCACTACTCAAACTCTTTGAAAATGAATCAGATTATATGGCCTTATGGAACCGGTGAGGTAGGAACATGTTAATTGAAAATTTTATATTTTGTGTTCTTTGCAGTGAAATAAGTGTAGGTTAAAGATTGATTTTACCCTTTCTTTGGAAATATTAATTTACTACAACAGGAGTCATTCATTATACAATATGGTACTTTTTGGAATTTTTAAAACAAGGACACCTCATTCATTTGGAAAGGTTTAAGCAAAGTTAAATGGATTGTTCACAAAAGTACCATCTTAGGAATCCACTCCTGGGTTAGTCCCTCTGGATATAGTATGTAAAGGAGGGACCTTGACCACATGTGGGGGTTCATCATGACATTACCAACCTCCAAAGAATTTTCCTTTCTTTCCATTGAGAGGAAATTTCTATATAGGCTAGTTTCTTGTTGATCAGCCTAGTAGGAGAAATTCTAAAATGGAGGTGAGTTAAGTCACTATAGGAAACGCTGTAGGAAGAAAGTATGATAGTAATAGTCACTGTTTATTAAGCCCTTACTATATACAGGACACTCTTTTAAGTGCTTTACTTGCATTCTGTCATTAATCCATACAACTCTAGGAGCTGATATAATTATTACACCTGTTGTACAAATGAGAAAACTGAAGCATGGAGAGATTATATAACTTGTTCAAGATCATATAGCTAAAAAGTGACAGAGCTGGGATTTGAACCCAGGCAGAATGCCCTTACAATCTACCCTCGTAATTGCTCTTTTCTTTTGCCTTTCTTATTTCTGACCTTTTTCTCTCCAGGTTATTGTTCAGAACTACAACTCCATTTTGACTCTTTCTCACTTGTACCGATCTTCAGATGCCCTCCTCGTTCATGAAAATGATGCTGTTCATAAGATCTGTGCAAAACTGATGAACATCAAGCAAATCTCCTTTACCGATATAAACCAAGTCCTTGCACATCAGCTGGGAAGCGTGTTCCAACCTACTTATTCTATGGAAGGCTCATATCACTACAGAAGAAATCCATTAGGTATTTGTCCTCTTGTATGTAACTTGTATGAAAGTCTTACGTTTTGAAAGCCTCAGTTATTCGTCCCTGGCTTGTCCCGTCTGTCTGAGGATACACTCAGATCTCCCTCATCTCAAAAACCTTCCTGAAGAACTACCTAGCTCTCCAACTAGATAGTTGGAAGTTTTGAGAAGTTACTAAATTTCTGAAGTGATAGATGCGCATTGGTTCTATTCTTCAGGATCCTTTTCTTCTTCTTCTTCTTTTTTTTTTTTTACAGCAACTTTGAGATATAATTCACACACCATATAATTCACTCATTTAAAATGTACAATTCAATTTTTTTTAAGTTTATTTATTTTGGGGCACCTGAGTGGTTCAGTTGGTTGAGTGTCCAACTTCGGCTGAGGTCGTGATCTCGCGGTTCATGAGTTTGAGCTCCATGTTGGGCACTGTGCTATCAGCTCTGAGCCTGGAGCCTGCTTCGGATTCTGTGTCTCCCCTTCTCTCATCTCTTCCCCTGCTCACGCTCTCTCTCTCTCTCTCTCTCTCTCTCAAAAAATAAATACACATTAAAAAAAATTAAAGTTTATTTATTTTGAGAGACACAGAGAGAGCGAGTGCACAAGTGGGGGAGGAGCAGAGAGAGTGAGAAAGAGAATCTCAAGCAGGGTCCACGCCATCAGCATAGAGCCTAATGTGGGGCTTGAACTCACCAACTGTGAAATCGTGCATGACCTAAACTGAGGTTAGGAGTGGGATGCTTAACCGGCTGAGCCAGGCGTCCCTACAATTCAATTTTTTAGCATATTCACAAAGTTCTACAACCATCATTTTCATCACCCCATTAAGAAACCCACCATTCTTTTTTCAGCTTATTCATCAAGTGGTGCCATATCAATCCAAATCATCTAGATGCAAATAACTCCATAGTCTATACCCTTCTCGGTCCTAATGTCTTTCCCAAATAGTTGCCTATCCCAATTTTTTTAGTTGCCTTCTGGCTTCTTCAAGTTTAGAATGTTCTGAATAGATCCATCTTTTTTTTCCCCTGTCCTCTCTCCCCTGCTCCCTCTTCCTAAGTTTCTATCACCTGGATTTCTCCCACTGTCCTCATATCCCATCAGTATGTTCAGACCTGTTGGTGCCTTCTCTACCATCTGCCTGCATTCTTCCCCCTACTTCCCTATCTCTCTGACATTCACTCAGGGTGCCAGTATCTCTCAACTAATACTGCATACTCTCCCTGAACACAAAGCAAACTAGCCTCTTTCTATTCCTTCTCTCTCTCTCTCTCTTTCTCTCTCTCTCTGGCATAAAAACAGAGCTTAGATCTAATCAACATTCCTATCTGAAGGTGGTCCTAACCTTGCATTCCTTCCTGTACCTGCCTCCTCCCCCTGCAGTCCATCTTGCAAGCTTACTGCAACAGAGCCTCCCCAGTGTGCAGATCTAATTCTTGTACTCCCTCGTGTTCATCCTATGGCCAGGTTTGCCAGAATTCCTTTGCCTGGCCTCCACATCATGCCCTGAAACCTGACTTTCTAGCTTCATTACCTACTGTCTCCTCTACATGGATCCCCACCTACTTTTCATCCTGTCTGCACTGTCTCTCTTCAGTCTGGTGCTTTCCAGCCCAGGTCCCTTTGTTCAGTGTTCCTTCTCCTTAGAAATCGCTTCCTCCTTCCTTTCTTCACCTCTATTAAAACCTTATACATCCTTCGGTGTCCCAATTCAAGTGATAATTTTTCTGTAAAGCTTTCATACTGAGGTCTTCACCTAAAGTAACCCTCTTTTTCTGAACTTTAAGGCATTCTCTATCTCTTTTATGTCACTTAATATTTTTTTCCATTATTTCTTTAAGTGTGTTTGTTTATCTTTAAAAGTAACACAAACAGCACACCTATTCAACAAGTGAAAAACAATACGCAATCAAAAGTAAGTGTCCTTCCCACCCTTTCCCAGATGCTACCACTATAACTAACACCATGTGTTTCCTTAGAGAGGGATTCTGTCATGTGCATATTATGTAGTCCTACTAATGTGCAACTTCCTTGGAGACATGTCTCGTTAATTTCTGTGCATTCTACAGTACTTACTGTATTGCACATCTGTTCATTCAGCCAATATTTATTGACTTCCTACTGTGTGCCAGGCACTATGCTAAATGTTGGGGATCCAATGCAAGCCAATGCAGACATTATGTTCACTGTGAAATGTGAAAGACATTAAACAAATAAATTACACCAAGAATGTATAATTAAAGAACTCACCAACTGTGAAATCGTGCATGACCTAAACTGAGGTTAGGAGTGGGATGCTTAACCGACTGAGCCAGGCGTCTCTGAAGTGCTCTGCACTCTGAAGTGCTCTGAAGGAAAGAAGTCCAGTTTCAAGAGAATGTGTCACAAAGGAATCAGACTTAGACTGCAGGGACAAGGAAGACTGCCCTGAGAAAGTAACACTTGAGCCAAAAGCTGGTAAAGGACTTGGAGATGACTAAGCCAAGGGAAGGAGGAGGGAACAGCATGGGCAGAGGTCTTGCAGCAGAAGGAATCCTGGCACATCAAATAGAAATCCCATGACCCCGTAGCACAGAGAATGGTAAGGCTAAAGTGGTGAGCAGGGGTAGGCCTTGCAGATTCTCATAAGCCATTTAGAGGCCTTCCTCATTACCCTAAGAATAGGGAGAAGCCGCTGAAAGATTTTAAGCAGGTTGGTGACATAATCACTTTTCCTTTTGAAAAATCCACTGGACTTCTGTGGATAGCTGATTGGAGGTGAGTCTGTAGGCTGGTCTAGTCATTCCCTGCAGAGATTGTGGTGGTTTGAACTCATTGAACTGCACTGAGAAAATAAAGATGGTTATTAATAAAAACTCCCCCACTATGTGCAAACCTTACTGTGCACTTCACCTCACAATTTGCACTTCACCTGGTGTCACGGTGGGAGAAGTGTCCTGCTCCTGTCAAAGATAGCTCTCTCGCTTAATTTCTGGGTCCCATTCCCTCTCCCTTCTCAGGGACTTAATTCTTCACTCATCTCTCGTCCTCCCCTGTCATAAACTTATGCCTCTTTCCTGGATTATTGCCATTACAACTATTGGGCATCTCTTACACTGAAAAAATCCTCCCTTGACATCACCTCTAGTGATTGCACCCATTCCTCTGTTATTCTTTAAAACAACGCAAGGGTGTGTGTCCTTGCTGTCATTAGCTCCTCCTCATCTCATCATGTTCACCCCCTCTGATCTAGTTTCTACCCCACCATGTCTCTGAAAATGCTTTTTATAAGTCACAAGTGTGTCCACATTGCCAAATGTAGTGGACACTTTGTTGTCCTCATTTCCATCAGTAGAATTTGGCATGGCTGATCTTTGGTCTTCCAAATCTTTTGTCTTTTGTGACAGCCCTCTTCTCATTTTCCTTTTATCTCACTGACTACACCTTTTATTCCCTTCTTTTCTCCTCCTTTGGCTCCTTTTCTTTTTCCCAAGCTCTAAATGCTGGTCTTAGACCCTCTCCCTGATAACTGGCCTAGTTCCATGGCTTTAAACACCATTTGTATTCTCCAACTTGCTGGTTTATCTCCAACTCTGACCAATTCCCTAAGCTCCAGATTTCTATAACCAGTAGCCTTTTCCTGTATGACATTTATATGTACACATTTCATGGACATCCCAAACATAATGTGTCTAAAACAGAGAGCTTTCCCCCAGAAGCGCATTTCTTTCTCACTCCCTCAGTTACTCAGTTTTAAAATCTTAGATGCAGGGGCCTGGGTGGCTCAGTTGGTTAAGCATCTGACTTTGGCTCAGGTCATGATTTCACAGTTTGTGAGTTCGAGCCCCGCGTCCGGCTCTGTACTGACAACTCAGAGCCTGGAGCCTGCTTCAGATTCGGTGTCTCCCTCTCTCTCTGCCCCTCCCCCACTCATCCCCTCTCTCTCTCTCTCTCTCTCTCTCTCTCTCTCTCCCTCTCTCTCTCTCTCTCTCTCAAATAAATAAACATTAAAAAAAATTGGGAGGGGGGTCCTGGGTGGCTCAGTCGGTTGAGTGTCCGACTTCGGCTCAGATCATGATCTCGCAGTTCGTGAGTTCGAGCCCCGTGTCAGGCTCTGTGCTGACAGCTCAGAGCCTGGAGACTGCTTCAGATTCTGTGTCTCCCTCTCTCTCTGCCCCTTCCCTGCTCATACTCTGTCTCTCTCTGTCTCTCAAAAATGAATAAATGTTAAAAAAATTTTTTTTTAATTTTTTTTTTTTTAATCTTAGATCCAGAGGCACCTGGGTAGCTCAGTCGGTTAAGCATCTGACTTTGGCTCAGGCCATGGTTTCGTGGTTCAAGAGTTTGAGCCCTGCATCGGGCTGTCAGCACAGAGCCTACTTCAGATCCTCTGTCCCCTTCTCTTGCTCCCCCTCCCCCATTCATTCTTTCTGTCTCTCTGTCTCTCTCTGTCTCTGTCTCTCTGTCTCTCAAAAGTAGATATTTTTAAAAAGTTTTTTAGGGGCACTTAGATGGTTCAGTCGGTTAAGCATCCGACTCTCTGTTTCGGCTCATGTCATGATGTCACAGTTTCATGGGTTCAAGCCCGCATCGGGCTCTGTGCTGATGATGTGGAGCCTGCTTGGGATCCTCTCTCTCCCCCTATCTCTGGCCCCCCCCCCCCCCCCGCTCACTCTGTCTCTGTCTCTCTCAAAATAAATGAATAAACTTAAAAAAAATTTTTTTTTAATTTAAATCTTAGATCCAGTTTTCTTACAGGAAAGTCTATAATTGCCTCTATTGTATGTGGTTTATCTTCTGTCTTCCAGTTTCCCTTCTTTCCTGCCATTCTCCCCTGTTCATGAACAGAGCCTCAGGGGCCTCATTATGTATCATATAGCCCAGCTCATTCTCACCAGGGTGTCCGTTCTTGCTGTCCTCATTAACTTCCTTCTCCCTCTACCAGGAGTATTCTCCTGACCATTTCCCTTTCATCTTTCAAGTCTCAGCTCACTGTTACCTTCTTAAAATGGCCTTCCATGATCCTATTTGAGGAGCGAGCACCTATAATATCATCCTGTTTGTTTCCTTCCCACCATTTATTACTTTCTGACATTGTTTTGTTCATTTATTACCTCTTTTATTCTTTCTTCCTTTCTTTCTTTCTTTCTTTCTTTCTTTCTTTCTTTCTTTCTTTCTTTCCTTCTTTCTTTCAAGAGGGAGAGAGAGCACACACCAGCATGAGACAGGGGCAGAAGGAGAGAGGGAGGATCTTAAGTAGGCTCAGCACAGAGCTTGACATGGGGCTCTATCCCACAACCCTGGGATCATGACCTGAGTGGAAATCAAGAGTTGGACACTCAACCAACCGAGCCACTCAGATGCCCCTGTTCTTTGTTTCTAACCACTAGAATAGAAGCTCTGTGAAAGTAAGGCCTTGTCTACCTTGCTCACCACTGTGTCTGCTATCCTCAGAACAATGCCTCTCATATAACAGGTCCTTGCTAAATGAGACTAAACACATTGAGATAAAGAGGATAGATTTGAGAGAAATTGGGGGTGGAGTAAAATGCAGAGGACCAGGTGATGGATTGGATCTGGAAAATGACAGAAAGGGAGGTGCAGAGCATAAGTCATGGGGCCCTGGGTTACAAAACAGTGTAGTCTGTAGTGATGTTTGCTGGATCTGGGGACACTAAAAAAAGATCTGATTTGTGAGGCATAGTATGGGGCAAAGAAAGAGGTGGGTCTTAAACATGTTGAGTGTGAGGTGCCTTTGCCATATCTTAATGGAAATGTCATGTGATAAGTTAGCTGGAAGTTTACCTGGTCTTCCCACTTCAACCTTTGCCAGCCCACAGCCTTTTCTAAAGTTTAGCAGCCAGACTGAACTCTGGCTTTACTTGTCTAAAAGGTTAAATCCCATTAGATCCTGTTACTCTCTTATTCAAAACTTTCAAGAGGTTTCCCATCTCACCCAGAGTTAAAGCCAAAGTAATTGTAATCACATGCAAGGTTTTGTTCTGTCTGGTTTCCATTGCTTTCTTGACCTTATATCCTGCTCTCTCTCTTCTAGCCACATTGGCCTCCATGCTTTTTCTCAGATATATCTGTTGTGCCTCAGAGTCTCTGTACTAAATGACCTCAGATACCCACATGGCTCCATTCAGGTGTTTGAGGAGATGTCACCTTTACAACAAAGCATCAGCATTAGTGAGCATCTAAATTCTGAGGGGCCCCAGTCTGTGATGTGGGGTGACTTTCTACAGCAATGCTCTGACAGCAACAGAGAATGTGAGGAGTGGGGCTGGTCCAAGATTGGACTTTCACTTAGGAAGATTTGATGAAGAGACAGGGGCAAATAGCCGGGTAAGAAAAGAAGTGAAGCAAGGGGAAGACTGATGGACTGAGAAGGCAGGAGGTCCATGGATTAGTTTGTCTTAGTCCATTTAGGTTGCTATAACAAAAGTGCTATTTACTAAGTAACTTATTTAGAACATAACATTGTTTCTCATGGTTCTGAAGGCTGGAAAGTCCAAGATCAAGGCACCAGTAGGTACAGTGTCTGGTGAGGTCCTTCTTCTTGGTTCTTAGATGGCCATCTTCTCACTGTGTCCTCACATGGCAGGGGGTGCTAGAGAGTTCTGTGGGGCCCCTTTTAGAAGGGCACTAATCCCATTTCTGAGGGTTCCACCCTTACCATACCATCATCTTGGGGGTTAGGATTTCAAATATATGAATTTGAGGGGGGAACAAACCTTCAGTCCATAATAGGGTCTTAACAAGGTCTTGGCATGGTTAAAAATGAGAGTAGGTAAACAAGAAGGCTGGAGGGAAAAGTAGATTGTGACCGTTAATAATTCATGTGTTGGGGAGGCTGGGTGGCTCAGTTGCTTGAGCATCCAATTCTAGATTTCAGCTCAGTTCATGATCTCAGGGTCCTGAGATAGAGCTCCATGTCGGGCTCCGTGCTGAGCATGGAGCCTGCTTGGGATTCTCTCCCTCCCCCTCCCTCTGCTCCTCCTTTGCTCTTTCTCTCACTCTCAAAAAAATAAAAATAAATAAAAAAATTTAAAGGTAGATCATTAATTACCTTTCTAAAGAATGATCATTCATGTGTCAGTGCTATATTTGTTGACTATTGTTTGTGCTATGCAATAAAATTCAGCTGTAGGTATTTTGCATTAAAGGACTCTTATGTTCAGGGGTGCCTGGGTGGTGCAGTCAGTTAAGCATCCAACTCTTGATCACAGCTCTGGTCATGATCTCACGGTTTGTGAATTCGAGCCCCACATCAGGCTCTGCTGTGATGGTGCAGAGCCTGCTTGGGATTCTGTTTCCTTCTCTGTGCCCCTCCCCCACTTGTGCACTCCCTAGTGCACATCTCAAAATGAATAAACGTTAAAAAAAAAAAAAAGATTCATGTTTAGAGGAAAGTCCACTAGTCATAAGATCAATTTGTGCAAAACTTTGTAGATGTTTGTGTCAAAATTTGTTCTTTTCTTTAGGATATAAGATGAGTTTGCACTCAGTGTTACAAAATTTATATTTCATGTTGTTATAATAATATATTTTTCTCTTTTCTCAAGTTTTTTCCCAAAAATATATAAAACAGCTCTGAATGCAAAACAAATTAGCTTTTTTCCATAATCCTGTTTCATTACAAATATGTTTCTAAAGATAGGTGTATTCCTGTCTTCAGGAATCACTAATCTTGTCTTTTTTCCCTAGTAGAATTTCCTTTAACATGCCCTGCTTATCCTTTAACCAGATAAAATAAATAAGAGATCTAGAAAATTTTCTAAAGGAATATTTAGTGGATATGAATGATGATAAAAGCATATTAGCTCTGATGCTCACTTAGATTCCTGGGGTGTAGCTACATATTTTGTTCATATTTCCAGTTTCTTAGCTTCTACATTCTTGTTTCCTTTTTGTCAAAGTATGTTTTCTCACTCAAGCTAAAATAGGTGCCAAAATGAAGCAAATATGTGATCTGAAATAGACATTGTCTCTGAAATTTTATTTACATTTTTAAATTTAAGTAATTCTGGCCTTGGTGGAGAAAACATATTTGGCCCCCCAAACCATCTAACCATAGTTGTGTAAGGGTCAATGGAAACATTGTGGAATTTAAAAATTCAGTCCAGGTTTTTTTCTTTACAGGAGAGTTAATGGAGAATTTAGTCCCCCATCCTGAATTCAAGATGCTGGGTATTCGTAACATTCCTCAGATGTCTGAGAACTCACTGGCTTACAGTACATTTACTTGGGCTGGCCTCCTCAAGCACCTGAGACAGATGCTCATTTCTAATTCGAAAATGGAAGAAGGTAACGGGTATTTTAAAAACATGCAAGCCACAAACTGGGAAAAGAGCCTGCACTGGAGTTCTCAGTATAAACTGGCTTGGGCGAGTTGAAATAATGGTGACTTCTGGTCAGGGAGGTTCCTGCAAAAACTTACCAGGACATCCCAGGAGGACTGCTTAATCACTGCACAGTTTCATTAACCAAAAATGAAAAAAATTTTCAGAGGAGTTTAACATTTTTTTAAGTTTTGTTGATTGATTGATTGATTGATTGATTTTTAGTAATCTCTGTACCCAACAGGGAGCTCGCACTCATTACTCTGAGGTCAAGAGTCGCACACTCAATTGACTGAGCCAGCCAGGTGCCCCTATTTTATTTTATTTTTATCAAAGTAATATATGAACATAATATTTAAAAAATCAGGGGCACATGGGTGGCTCAGTTGGTTAAGCGTCCGACTTCACCTCAGGTCATGATCTCATGGTTTGTGAGTTCAAGCACTGCGTTGGGCTCTGTGATGACAGCTCAGAGCCTGGAGACTGCTTCAGATTCTGTGTCTCTGTCTCTCTCTGCCCCTCCCCTACTTGCGCCTCTGTCTCTTCTCTCTCTCAAAAATAAGTGAACATTAAAAGAAAAAAAATTTTTTTAAAAGATCAAATAGTCTGGGGTGCCTGGGTGGCTTAGTTAAGCATCCAACTTTGGCCCAGGTCACAATCTCACGGTTGGTGAATTCGAGCCCCACATCAGGCTCTGTTGCTGACAGCTTGGAGCCTGGAGCCTGCTTCAGATTCTGTGTCTCCCTCGCTCCCTGCCCTTCCCCCACTCATGCTCTGTCTCTTTCAAAAATAAATAAATATTAAAAAAAATTTTTTTTTAATCAAATGGTCAAGGGGCGCCTGGGTGGCTCACTTGGTTAAGCATCCGATTCTTGATTTCAGCTCAGGTCATGATCTCACGGTTTGTGAGATGAGCCTCTCGTCGACAGCACCAAGCCTGCTTAGGTAGGATTCTCTCTCTCTCTCTCTCTCTGTCTCTCTCTGCCCCTCCTCAGCTTGTGCACACACACTCTCTCTCTCTCAAAATAAATAAATAAACTTAAAAAAATCAAATAGTCAAAACTCATCTAAGTGTATACTTAATCTTTACTTTGCATTGTATGTAAATCATATCTCAATTTTTTTAGATAAAGCCAAGTAATTGTCCAGTATGTATTTATAATGAGGAAAAGAGCAGCTCCCTGGCCTATACTTCCCCACTGCCCAGATGAAAACACTGTCAATGGTTTTGGCTGTCTCTTCTGGAATTTGCCTCCATATTTCTAAGTATCTTGCTTGTATTATTACTTATTTTGTGTTCTAGGTTTAGATATTACCAATTGCCTTCCTAATGTGAAATTGAGAATTGAATCTTCTTATACCACTGCTATACACACACACACACAGACACACACACACACACACATATGCACAAGAAGTCTCACGTCAATCTGATTCCTAATCCTGTTTTGTTTTCTCTTGGATCTTTTAGGATTTCCTTTTTGTCCCTGGAATTCTGTAATTCCTTAATGTGGATCTTTCATTGAGCTTAGTAGAATGTAAGCTTTATTAGGGCAGGGATTCTGTTTTGTTTACTGTTGTACCTTCAGAGCCTGGAACGTAGGGCCCAGCAGGTAGTTTTACTGAGGCCAGAGCCTGACTGGTTTAGCCTTTCTGGAGCAGAAGCCTTTTAGGATGAAGGGGGGGGCACTCCCTCTGCTGCAGGGAGTGGGGAAGGGTCTAGGGTTCTCACCACTTCTCATACAGATTTTTATTTTTATTTATTTATTTTTAAGTTTATTTTATTTTTGAGAGAGAGCATGAGTAGGAGAGGGGGAGGGGAGGGGCAGAGAGAAATAGGGGACACAGGATCCAAAGTGGGCTCTGTGCTGACAGCAGCAAGCCTGATGTGGGGCTTAAACTCATGAACCGTGAGATCATGACCTGAGGTGAAATTGGGCGGATGCTCCGCCAACTGAGCCACCCAGGTGCCCCTCATACAGATTTTTAACTAAATCCTCTTGTTTCCTCCTCTTTTAGAAGTGGCTGGCCTGCTCCCAGGACCTCTCCACTGTGGGCAGACATTCTAAGCTTCCCCTGCTTGCTAAGTCAGTCACCACTGATTCATTTGCTTTCCAGATTCCAAAGTTTTTTTGCTATTGTCTCCTCTTCTCTTCCCTTTTTTCTTGTTTATGACAAGCTGATGTTCAGTCTGTCATGTCTAACTAGAAATCACCACTATGTATTATTTTAGTAGCATATATTTTACCACAAATAACAACAATTTAGGTTTCAATAATATGAAAGTGGATTTCTTCTACATTTACTTACTAGTGAAACCTTATAGATTTTAGATTATAGTGTCTGAGGTTTGAAGATAAATAGAAAGTTCACATCTTAAAGTAATGCTTCCCCAATTTTTTGGCCTCAGTACCCGTTTTTCTAGTAATACCTGTTAATATCTCAAGGAACACACTGTTTCTCAGAGTATATGCTGCTTTGAACTCTCTTAGGTCAGTAAAACACAGTTTGCTTAGTCATTTTCTCATGCGGGACTCTGAGTGTCAACATTTCTTCATAGTTATAGGTAGAGCTTTGAATGTATAAATATCTTCATATATGTGAAGATACATGAATAAGTATATTTATGTACTAACCAGGTTGAAACAAATAGCTTTAAAAATCTTTGTATATTACCAGACGACTCCATCTGAAGATTGACCCTATTAATATCACTATCAGCCATGTATCTGTTTCCATATGTCCTAGCAACAGAAGGAATGAGTGATCCCAGAGGGAGCCAGGCAGAAGTTACAGTGTCTTTTATGACCTAGCTTTGGAAGTCACATGCCATCTTTTTTATTTTTTTATTTTTTTTAGTTTTAGTTTTATTTTATTTATTTTTTAATGTTTATGTATATATTTGAGAGAGAGAGAAAGACAGAAGGCAAGTGGCGGAGGGACAGAGAGAGAGGGAGACAGAATCCGAAGCAGGCTCCAGGCTCTGAGCTGTCAGCACAGAGCCCGACACGGGGCTCGAACTCATGAACCATGAGATCATGACCTGAGCTGAAGTCAGACGCTTAACCAACTGAGCGACCCAAATGTCCCTTTTTATTTTTTTTAAGTTTATTTATTTTGAGAGAGAAACTCACACACATACACACACACACACAAGCAGGGGAGGGGCAGAGAGAGAGGGAGGGAGACACTCCGCACTGTCAGCACAGAACCCTCTGTGGGGCTCCATCCTACTCACTGTGAGATCATGACCTGAGCTGAAATCAAGAGTCGGATGCTTAACGGACTGAGCCCCCTAGGTGCCCCTAGTTTTATTTTTACTTAAGTAATCTCTACCCACAATGTGGGGCTTAAACTCATGATCCTGAGATTAAGAGTCACATACTCTTCTGACTGAACCAGTCAGGTGCCCCCACACGACATCATTTCTATACCATCCTTTTGGTTATTAAAGTCAGCCCTATGCATGTGGGAGGGGACCATACAAGGGCTTCAGTATCAGAGGGAAGATCAGTGGCATTCACCTTGGAGGCTGGCTACCACTCCACCCTCTGTCCCCTACTAAATCACGTCTTCCCATATGGAGAATAGACCTAACCCCTCCCAAAGGCTTCAAAAGTTATTTCTGTATAGCACATCAAGCTAAATTCCAGAATCTTATCATCTAAAAGCAGGTCCAGGTATGGTGGATTTACACTTTTTTTGAGTATAGCTCTTTGAGTACACTTCTTCCCCCTGCCTCCAATCAGTAGACCATGGTGGACCAGGCATAGCATAACTGGTAGACAGCCCCCTTAAAAAGGGGGAAATGGAAGGCACAAAGAAGTCATGGGTCCATAACAATTCAGCAGGGCACATCCTGGCAGTCTCCTGATGAAAATATAAGACATGGGAATAATTTTTCATGGCTTTGGCTTAGCTCTTTGAGTCAAGCTAAATTATAATTTTGTTTGTTTGTTTGTTTGTTTGAAGTAAACTCTACCCCCAACATGGGACTCAATATCACAAACCCAAGATCAAGAATTGCATGCTTGGGGCGCCCTGGTGGCTCAGTTGGTTAAGTGCCTGACTCTTGATTTTGGCTCAGGTCATGCATAATCTCACAGGTTTGTGAAATCAAGCCCTGTGTGGGGCTTTGAGCCGTCAGCACAGAGCCTGAACCTGCTTTGGATTCTGTGTCTCCCTCTCTTTTTGCTCCTCCCCCACTCACACTGTCTCTCAAAAATAAACGTAAAAATTTAAATAACAGTGGCAACACATTATATGTATTTTTTGCTCTATAGCTTTTTTTCAATATAACTATTTTGTGGACTTCTTTCCAATTCATTAAATTTGGACATGCCTTATTCTTTTTAATGGCTACATAGTTTTCTACTATATATGTGTCATAATTTATTATGTGCACATAGATTAAAGAGTCAAGTAATTCTACAAAGCCAGTTGTTAAAACAATCATTCCATAAAATTCCTGTATTTTCTCCTTCCCAGGAGCAACCATTTTCAAAACTTTTTTGCTGGTTCTTTTACTGTGTTTATCTCTTCATTGCCATCTATTGATTTTTCAATTGTTTAGGTATTACCTATTTACTTCCAAAATGTGGAAGGTTAGGATTTAGCTTTTTCCCACAATGTAAACCCTGCAAACACCCTTCTGTCTTCCCACCCTTCCAACATAGTAGTGTCATCATTGGGTTAAAGCAGTATTCAGCTTTACATTATCGTGACCAAGTAAATGCTATTCACAACTGAGCCATGTAGTACCCTGTAATTACTTTTCCTTTCCTGTATAGTTTTTTATTTTCTCTGGAGTTAATAATTGCCTTGTTTTCTTGTTTGCTTACATTTTCTGTGTACCTGTCAATTCAGTCCTAAGTTGAATAACTTATCTAATTTTTTTTCTTTTTTTAAAAGATGTTCTTTTGGGGCGCCTGGGTGGCTCAGTCACCTGGGTGGCTCAGTCGGTTG